AACTAGAGCCCGATTTCTAACGTGAATCTTTTGTGTAAATATTTTTATTTCGTCACTAAAGTTTTTGTGTCTTATAAGTGTACATCCGAGTACATATGTTGTATGGTTTTATAACGGCCTTCGACGGCCTTTACGTTTCCTATTCTTTAATTTATTTTTTTAATTAATCAAAACGACGATTTTTCAGAATAAATTTGCTTATACCAATGTGGACATAAATTGCGTTATGACCTCTGAATCTGTAGCGGAATAAGTGTAATTTTTTGTTTATAAAGTCAATTTGCAATTATGCAAATATCTGTGAGTGCAATTAGCAATCTTTTAAGTTAAATTTCAGCTTTTAAAATAGAGTTCTCAAATAGGCGGCGTTGACTTACATTTTTTTGTTAGTTTTCATATGTGAATGCGTTAATAAATGCAATTTCTATTTGAATGTATTGTCAGGAATGTATTCCAAGTACCATTAAGTATTTTAGAAACAAAAAAATTTTGACTTTCATCCAGCTAGATCTGCTATCCGAACCACTGTGCGATATATATATATATATATTTATATTTATAACAATATTTATTTTACTGAAATGTAACCGCCCCTTGATTTAAAAAGAAATCCGCCAATCTGTCCCTCATACGAAATGCTACAGAAGTTGCGTTGCATCGTGAAGAAGTTAAGGCCCGTCCACATAGAACTTTGGCGTTGCGTTGGCGTTGGCGTCGCTTCAACAGCTGACTATGAATACATGAATTCAAATGCAGCCGTCCACATAGCCAGAATTCGACAACGCTCACGCCAACACAAAGCAAAAAGAGGGCCAACTCTCAACTTTTCGCGTGCGTCGCTCGTCAGCTGTTGCAAATAAATAAAATTATGTGAAATATTTTTCCTTTTTAATCAAGTGCGGGCAAGAAATATCGTTTTTAATGCAATTATTGATATGAAATATTAATTTATCTGTCGTTAATATGTTAATTTAGTGGCCCAAGGATTCGCTGCCAAGCATTTATTGTAGCAAGCATAGAACGTGCGTTCTGTCAAACCAACGCCAACGCCAAAGCCAACGCGAAAGTTCTATGTGGACCGGCCTTTATTGATGGCAATGGACCACCAATACTTTCCAACTCATTACGCCATTCTCCATTTACTGCGCCATGCTCCGTGCTATATGCGTCCACATATTGTTCTGGGCAATACCAACTTTTGTGATCGTTAAGCATCACAAAGTTGTGCAAAACTAGACACGCCAACACAATTTTCTCGCAATTTTCTGGAAAAAGAGAGTATCATAGACCGTTTTAACTTACATTGACGTTATTACAAGGCGTTATTCTGCACTAATTTGTTGCTTGGGCTTTTCGAGGAAAGCTCGCAATGAATTAAGTAACAAATTGTACACTGAACGGCGCATCCTAGTTAATAGAAAAAGTTTTCTATCGACGGGTTTTGATTTTAAGAAGACTTTCTTAAAATACCCATTTGGCATCCGATCGGGATGAATCGCCCAGCGACGATTCCGCCTGCATTTTTTTCGCTTATTTTGAAGTCGGCAAATATTAATGAAACCCAAATCCAAAAATGTTTCATCCATGTCCTGGCCGATGGCTGAGTTAACTTAGGGTTGCCAGACGTACTGCTTTTGGGAGTACACGTACTCCTTTTTATTGCAATGTACACCCTTGTCCTCCCAAAAAAATATGTGGAAATGTACTCCTTTATTAGTTTTGTACTTCTTTTGTTCTCCTTTTTCCAGCTATTAATATTTTATCATATACAGGGTGTAAAATAATAACTGTCGCACAGTTTTTTTTTTTGTTTTTAATAAAAGGGACCTTTATAGATTTTGCGAAAATTTGATTAATTCGTTTTTAAATTTTAACCTTCATTTGGGCTTACCAGCGGGTTTGGGAGAAAAGCACGCAAGTCTTCATCGGTTACTTTATTACATATCTTCTGTAAATATAGGCTAATTTCCCCCAATTGGGTCCTTTATACTCCGTCTTTTGTCCAACATAAGGCCTCATACTCAGCAATCGAAAAGACTCCGAACTGGTGACTAGGAGGGCATTCATACGACCAACCCTATACAGTTTTTTTTTTCTCTTTTTTTTTATACAAAGTCTAAGAAAAAGTACACCTATAAAAGATATACGAGTATTCGTTTTCTCATCAGCGCATTAATTTCTCGAATCGATAAATTGTTGCTCACCCGATGCAACCTCTGAAAATGTGAACCCAACTTTAAATTTTGGTTCTGTTTTGGTTCATGAGTCCGATATATTAGATACTTCAACCAAGGTTTTGGTTTTCGCTAACAGTTGCTTTTGCTCTATATTGTAGTGAAGTTTCACACTCGGAAATGTAGTGAAGTTTCACTCTACGGAATAAAAAATTTATTTTTACCGGTAAGATAAGAAAATGAAAACACTTTAAAGTGAGGAACAATTTATCTGCCCTGTTAGTAAAGGCAACTTTACTGCTTACATTAGAAAACGGCCCTTAGTAAGCAAAGTTAAGTGTGATAGTGAAAAGGTGTAGGCATGGTCGTAGCAAGGTAGGTGCTCGGGTATAAAAATCAGAAAAATATTAAATTAATTATAAGGCTTAAACTAAAAAACTGGCCATATATTCAGAGAGTTTGTAATTCTTTTGAAGAATTTAGTTGGGGAAAATTTCCTATAAAGGCGGTCATTGAAGAGGTGGTGAGCGAAGGGGGGAGTGGGCGTAGCACCCCAGACCACCTTGGCCCCTGTGGGTCCCTAGGGACGCCTTAGAAAAATCGCCAAATATCACAACTCCCCCTTTGATCAACATCTCTTTAACGACCGGCCTTATTGGAAAGCCAGCTCATTTAGTTATTTATTTTTAACACTTATTGTTGCTTTGAAAAATATTTCTAAAATATCTTTGTTTATTTGTATCTAATTAAAGGTAATTTTTAACAATAAATTGCACAAAAAATTAAAAAAAAAAGATTTTACTCCTTTTTTAGGTCTTGTACTGCTTTTTTTCTATCGAAAATATAAATGTACTCCTTTCTCCGTTTCAAAATCTGGCAACTCGAAGTTAACTCCTGTGAAAATATATTGTATTTCGATATATCTTCATATGGAAGTGGTATTACATTTAACGGATTAATACGTATCGCCCGACAAGCGACGATATTTATTTTCATTAATATTGCACTTACTCTGTGGTTTTGGAGAAAATTTTATGATTTTAAAATGATCAAAATAGTAGCAAAATTAATGTAAGCTGCAAACAGCTGATGCACTGCCAAATATGCATAACAGAGCCTTCAGTCGTAATTCGCCATATTAAATTTTGAGAGCGTTCCCCGGAAATTTCGCCATTTATTCTTATTACTGTAAACGATTAATTCTTGTATATATACATATATTAGGGTTATCCAAAATAACTTTTTTTATGTTATAACTTTTGAACCGTTAAATAGAGTTATAGAAAAGGCATAAAGGTTTTTTTCTAGGCATATTCTTGTAGGGCATTAAATTCCTTAAAAAATTACCCTGGAGTTGGTTGTCTTAGAGACGATTAAGAGTATTAAATATATTAATGATATTCGCTGAACTAGATATAGCATTGATACAAAATTATAATCGAACTTTAACGAAAGACGAAGAACAAAAGCAATTTCTTTTGGAAGTAATAGAATTACAATCAAATATTTTAAAAATAAATAGCGAAAACTTGTTAATATGTGGCGGTCTTATAATTATGCCACGCAGTGTACTATTAACTTGTTTGACTTTTGTTTAGAGAACCTTTGAATTGCTAATTTATTTGTTATTTATGTTATGTTAAAATAAATATAAAAATTCGTTCTCCTGGAATGTTGAAAAATTCTGGTCACCTTACATATATGTAATTAAAAGTGTAATAAAATTGATTCAAATCAATATACAAGAGAATAATAACTTTCGGTTAGCTTCATTTGCATAAAATGCTCGCTGGTACTTTTTATCTGAACCTTAGCTAATTATTAGCGCAAAATCATTGAAAATATGAAGCCAAAACAGAGCACTTCACAGCTTGACGTTTGCGTTAGCACACTTTTTTCTGCAGAGTACTTAATCAAAGAAATTAGCTGTTGACTCGATTGTACTTACTGTATATGCATGTATATGTATATGTATTCTATAGTATTCTGCAACTACGTATTCCATGCGCATGTGAAATTCCTATCTCGTAAACTATTAAAAATGTTATATTTATGCAGAAGCAAATGTTTCGGTGTCCCCATGTAGCTAATATTACAATCCAAATGTTTAAAGCGTTTCTTCTCGAAATCAGGTGTTTCGACTTAGAGAGTTATTGCTTTTGACCACAGAATTTTCAAGTGAAAAGGAGATAAAAGAAAAGAGTGTAAACTACTACATCAAATATTTTACGTACAACTGTTTGTTGAAACTGGTTTATGTTTAGTGTAAACAAAACCTTTCAGCTACTGGCCGACTGCCATGGCGTTTGGCTAATCAGCAATTTATTCAACCAATAATGTACATATGTATGTATGTAAGTGTTTCAAATGAGAGCGCAAGGTGTGCAGATATCATATGTTTGTATTCATTTTTTTTTTGTTAGTAAACAAATATAATTTTGCCGGTCTGTGAAGTCTTGCCTTATATGTTTTTTTTTTTCTTTAATTTCCTTTTCTCACTTTTTCTGCGACTAGCTGATATGTCTTCGCTGAGATCGCAATTGTAATGAGTTAACAGTGCCGCCACTGCTGTCTGTTAAATTAAATACTCGTAGTATGTATCTTAACAGCGACACCTGTTCGGGTGGTGACAAATTCAAACACTTTACACAAATTAATTTGGGTTGCGCATGCTCCCACCAATATATGCGATTCCTTGATGAGCTTATAAATAAAGCCGCAGCGAGGTGTTGACCTGCATAAGTAAATACACGCCAAACGAGCGTGCGTAAAAATTAAGCGTTGGAATATTTTTAATAAATTATAATCGTAATTTGTATACTTTCAATGGAAATTCTACGCGTAGCAGTCATTTGTACTGCTCTTTTACTGCGCTCCGCGGCCGCTGTAGAAGTTTTAAACAATATTTTTCAACTCGGACTGGCCAACGTAATAGAACAATTTAATTCGGCTGGTAGGTTGCGCTTTGGAAAATCGTGCTTTTGTTGAAATTTATTTCAAACCTGTCCTTCTTATCTTGCAGTACCCAAACAAAATGACGTATACGATTTCATTATTGTGGGCGCTGGCGCTGCAGGTTGCACTTTGGCTAATCGGCTGTCCGAGAACCGCATCTGGTCCGTTGCGCTCCTCGAGGCTGGCGGTATTGAGAACATCGCACATACTATCCCCGTAGTGACGGGCTTCCTGCAAGGCACACATTCCAATTGGGGCTACAGGTCGGTGCCACAAAAGCGCGCCTGCTTTGGCATGAACAACAACGAGTGCGCATTGCCACGCGGAAAGGTCCTAGGCGGCACCAGTTCCATCAACCACATGATCTACAACCGCGGCAATCGGCGCGACTATGACAGCTGGGCGGCTGCGGGCAGCATAGGTTGGTCGTACGACGAAGTGCTGCCATACTTTCTCAAATCAGAGAATGCCCGTTTAGCTGGCTTGGAATCATCACCCTATCACAACCATTCTGGGCCGCTGAGTGTCGAGGATGTGCGCTTTCGCACCGATTATGCACACGCGTTTGTACATGGCGCACAGGAAGCCGGACATCCACGTACAGATTACAATGGCGAGTCACAATTAGGCGTTTCATACGTACAGGCCACAACGCAAAATGGACGACGACACAGCGCCTATCGCGCCTTCATAAGACCTGTGTATAAAGTGCGTCCAAATCTACGCATTTTCACTTTTGCGCACGCACTTCGTGTACTCATAGATCCGGAAACAAAGATGGCTTATGGTGTGGAATTCCTGCACCAGCGAAAGAAGCGATACACTTTTAAGGCGCGTAAGGAGGTTATACTGTCCGCGGGTGCTTTCAACTCACCGCAGCTCTTGATGCTGTCCGGTGTCGGACCTGCAGACAATCTAAATGCTATTGAGGTGCCCGTGATACAGGAGTTGCCCGTGGGCAAACGCATGTACGATCACATGTCGCACATAGGGCCTGTATTCTTAACCAATACTACAGGACAGACGACCTATCCCACCAGCATCACCTTGAGTGATATCAAGCGCTTCTTTCTGTTTGGCGACCCGGGAACTCGCCTCTCCAGCATTGGTGGTGTAGAGTGTTTAGCTTTCATTAAAATACCCAGCTCTCAAAGGCCGTCCGATTGGCCAGATGTCGAATTGATAACAGTGTTGGGCGGCATCGTGTCCGACGATGGCACCGGACTGAAAGAGGGCGGAAATATCCGCCAGGATCTCTACGACCAGTTGTATCTACCTTTACAGCTGGCGCGACAAGAACACTTTACTGTGCTGGTCATGGATTTCCACCCTAAATCATTCGGACGCATTTGGTTGCACAATCGAGACCCTTTGCGCGGGCCAGTGATTGATCCCCAATATTTCTTCAACGAGGAGGACATCGAACACCTATTAGAGGGCATCAAAGCAGCCATACGCATCGGTGAATCACCAGCCATGCAACGCATTGGCGCTCGGCTATACGATAAACTAGTGCCAGGTTGTGAACAATACATTTTCGGCAGCGACGAGTACTGGCGCTGCTCCATACGGACTTTGTCCTACACGCTGCACCATCAGGTGGCCACATGCCGCATGGGACCGGCAACAGATAGCACGACAGTGGTCGATCCGCAGCTAAAGGTGCATGGCATTCGAAAATTGCGCGTTGTGGATACGAGCATCATTCCCTTTCCGCCAACGGCGCACACAAACGCGCCGGCTTTTATGATTGGTGAGAAGGCGGCCGACTTGATACGCGGCGAGTGGGAAGGCGGTAAGTGTAATGATCAGGTGTAAAAATTAGATTGTTGAACTGCGAGAAATATGTAGATATGTATGTGTGTATAAGGTTTTTTGATAAATATTAAATATTTATTTAATATATTTTTTTTCAGATTTAAGATTTTAAATTTAAATTTCGTTTAAAACTAATTAATTTTTTCACGCTAAACGAGAGGTTGGCCATAAAACCAGTCCGACGTGAATCGCAATAAGACTTGTAATTGCTGCGACAATAAAATATGAACTCCAATGTAGAAAAAAATAGCAAAGGGTGAGTAACAAACATGTTTATTGTCTGCTCAAGCAATCAGCAAAGGCACTAACTGAAATTCGCGTGAAAGGAACGGGCATTGTGTTTTCTAATTAAGTGGCAAAATAAGTAATAGACTCATTAAGTTGGTCAAAACGATGTTATTGACTTTTTTTATGTCAAATATGGGAAGATAATTACTCAAAATCTCAGCACCTTAAAGAGATCAAACTCAGATTAGAAGATTCTTTCCCTGTAGCGCAGAATGGGAATCAGTTCAACTGGTGTCTGGATGAAAATTGTTAATGATGTCTTCATGATTAATTGAAAGATAATGATAGTTATTTAATATGATTAATATTTATTATATTATTATATGAAACAGTATTTTTAGTGCTAATAATCGTATTTAATTTTTAGTCATTAATATTTAAAATGAAAAGAGTACTTAAGTATATACTCTGTATTTACATACAATTTTTGCTTATGATCAAAAAATATGGTTTTTGTTTTGTTTTCTTTTTGCCACTTACGTGATATAGTTATGATACTTAATTAAAAAATTTCATTTACCTGTGTACATTAGGGTGGTCCTTAAATGTAGAAAGCAAATTTTTATATCGGATTTCCTAAGCCTCAATCCCTGCGTCGATGCTACTATAGTCGAAGGTATCACACAAAGATATCATACAAATTTTGGCCCCGATTGGAGCCGGTTAAGGCATGACGCACGGGGGTCAAAATTCAGATTACCCTATGAAGACGTCTTGACCGACTCCAATCGTGACCAAAATTTGTATGTGATATCTTCGACTTTAGTAGTATCGATTTGGGGTTTAAAAAAAAAAAAAATGTTTTTAATGTTTTGAGTCTCCATGGAGCATCTGGCCTTGGACCCCATTGCGACACGCCTTAACCGACTCCAATCGGGACCAAAATTTATATGTGATATCTTCGACTACGGTAGTATCGGTTTTGGGTATGAGTTGGCAGAACAATTTCTTTTAATTTTTTTAGTCTCTATAGAGGAATCTAAACTTTGGCCTCTGTGCGACACGCCTTAACCGTCTCCAATCGGTACCAACATTTATTTGTGATATCTGTGACCGTGGTATTACCGATTGAAGGGGTGAGACTGAAATAAATCGTTCATTTGATTTTTTTAAGGACCATCCTAATGTACATTAGACTGCATCACCAAAAAAAAGTTGCAGTTTTTCCGCCGGGATTGCAAAATTTGTTATATTTTAAGAAGTCCACCAAAATATTTCGGAAAAATACTAAGATTTTAGTGAGCTGGACCGATTTGAAAACACCTCCAAAAATGGAGTTTTTTATGAATAAAAATGGTTTCTTAAAGAACTTTTTGAAAAAAGTCCCCTCAGATGACAAAACAGATTAAGCTTAAAAAATCTGCATAAAAATACTTAAAAATCTTTTCAACGGAATCGTAAGAACGAGATTTTTGATGCTGTTTTTTTACTTTTTTCATAGATTGATTTACGAAAACCTTGAATAACTGGGCCAAAACTATTCTGATTTAGACTTAAGGGATCTCAGTGGAAAGGTATTTTCACACTGTTTTTGTTTCTGTCCAAAAAAAGTCATTCGTATCCCAATTTTTTATTTTTCAAATACCAACACATCTTAATTCAACTTTGAATAACGTTCGTTCATCCTACCTTTCTCTGTCATCCTTTGAATGAGTTTATTAGCAAAGAAATAAAAACGATGAGAAAAAACCTTTCCAATGACACCTCTTAAGTTTAAATCGGAAGAGTTTAGGTTGTGTTATTAAAGTTTTTCTGATACCAATCTTTGAAAAAAGTTAAAAAAACAGCATCAAAAATCTCATTACGATTCCGTTCAAATTTTTTTTAAATTTTTTTTTTAATATTTTTATGCAATTTTTTTAAGCTAAAACCGTTTTGACATTTGAGGGGATTTTTTCAAAAAAAAATGTTAAGAAACTATTTTTATTCATATAAAATTCCATTTTTAGAGGTATTTTCAAATCGGTCCAGCTCACTTAAATCTTAAAATTTTTCCGAGATATTTTGGTGGACGTCTTAAAATATAATAAATTTTATAATTCCGATGGAAAAATAGCACCGATTTTTTTTTTGTATGGGGAGTGATGCAGTCTAATGTACATACATACATATAATACATATTCCCTACGATATGTGTTTTTAATCTCTCTTTTAAGGACGGATACAGGTATTACTTACTTGTTGTATGCAAGCTCATTGCAAAAGTTTGCAACAGTTTATATTCCCCTACATAAATATGTATGTATGTACGTACATACACATGGCGTGGACCATAACAAGCATTCTCATACACATATGTATATAAACTTAATACGAAATGAAAACTAGGTTTTAATACTACGTGTTGAAATTAATGCACTAAAATTTTACTATTACTATTCAATGGTAAGCGAAATGCAGCTGCTCCAGTTTTATATGTACTTATGTACCGAAGTTGTGCAAAGGTCACCTTCATATTTGTCTAATATTAGTTCAAATATTTTGCATTAGCATACGCAGTTCATCATTTACATTTAGTAACGCCATTAATACTAAAGTAGGTCGGGCCTTAGCCGAAACTGCCTCTTTGAGAGGCTTTTAAGGCATTTCGTCTGAAATAAGTATATGTATGTATATTGCATTTCTGTAGAACAATGATTCGCACCCATTTTGAAATTGCCACCAACTAAACTATAAAGCTTCTAGGACAGATTCACTATTGAACCGGGTCATTGTTGCCACCAGGGTGTGAAGAGGAAAAAATTCTTCAAATTTCTATTTTGTTTTGCGAATAACCGTGCTATGAAATGCTGCAGTTGGAGAATTTCAAGAACTTCGTCACGGATATAACACTTTCCTTAGGTTATTTAAAGCGGCAAATGACCACCAAACCATAATCTTAGCAGAGGAATGTGCCAATGAAAATCGTTAACGTGAATTGTTGGTGAAAATGTTGGACCAAAAAGTTCCAATAAAAAAAAAATAAAAACTTTGAGCGGGACGAAGTTCGCCGGGTCTGCTACATATATGCAGAAATTAGGTGTCTTTTAGGTGTTCTTCAACGCCACTAAAACTAATTTAGTAGCTCCATTGGTTTCCGAGAAATTCGTATATTTGCGTATATTTGGAAAATTTAGAAGCTAAATTTAACGGTTTACGTAAACCTAGCTGACCCACACATATTTGCGAATTTCTCGGAAACCAATGGAGCTACTAAATTAGTTTTAGTGGCGTTGAAGAACACCTAAAAGACACCTAATTCCTGCATATATGTATTTCGAAAATTAAAAAAAAAGAAATTAAGATTGTTCAGCTAGCTTAACAGCGCTAAGCTAGCTGAAAAACACATTTTTGCGAATTTCTAGGAAACCAATGGAGCTACTGAATTGGTTTTAGTGGCGTTGAAGAACACCTAAAAGACACCTAATTCCAGCATATATTTGGAAAATTTAAAACCTAGCTGACCCACACATTTTTGCGAATTTCTCGGAAACCAAAGGAACACCTAAATTAATTTTGGAGGCCCTAATTAACACCTAAAAGACACCTAATTCCTAGCTAATTTTTATTGATTTTTGGCGACTTGGGTCAGCTAGGTTTATGGACACCTTGCTTTGTCCGTCGCATTTCTTGTATAGCAGTGATGTCAGCCTTAGTCTTCATGAGTATATCGACTAGCCCCGGGAGATGCATCTGCCCCTATAAAATCCGGATGTTTCAAGTGCACACCTATAAACGTTGACCTTGGTCATTATCTCAAGAAGGCGGTCTCATGCAAGGCTTATATGATATATTCATTAAAAATGTATTTTACGTGGCGAATCATCAAGCTCAAAGTACGAATATGAATATAAGTTACGTGGTGGTTTGTGTGTCTGTTGCGGTAACAGAGCTACTTACTTGACTTCTAGTTACTTCCAAAATGGTTGTTTTACTCCGGGTGCCAATTGGATTTAAATCGCAGCTTGTACTGAGACATCTGACCATTTGCCTAGAGAGGGCTCAGAGCACTCCCACCAACGATAATCTAACACAGAAACTGGGTGAATAGTTCGGTCAGCATTGGGAAAATTCAGGTGGACAATGCCCAACCAGTCTTAGAAGATCTAGCGAGGTATCTGGTTTCATTGAGTAGATGAGACTGTAAACAAGTTGTGAGACTGAGAAGTGGTAATTTCTCGTGTCAAATATCTGACTGCAATAATTCGCGATCTAAGTACTGAATGGTAATAACCCCTAGGGATAAGAAGCTTTTTGCCCTACGCATTTATTATTGTTTTAAAATTGTTCGTTTGACTTTAAGAAATGATAATAAGGTAAGTAACTATTTAAGTATTTAACAAAAAGCAATTTGTAACGCGGCCTGGTTCAAAATTCAAAAAACTTAGGAAGTGAGGGAATGGAATGGAATTTTAAATCGAACGCAAAACAAAACGTACCAACGTCTGTCGACAAAGGAAATAAAGATTTTTTGTAAAGCGACAAACGTAAAAAATATATTTGAATATAAATTTAGCATTTTACTCGTAAACATGTTTTGAACAAAAGAAATATTGAAAACAATTCAAGAGTTGACAGCTTTGTTTTTGTGAAAAAATAGTCCTAAAAGCAAACACCTAGAGCCAGTGATGAGCAGATCTCCATCTATCCCTTTTATTGTTTTGCATTGTTGACGCTGGCTTTTTAGAAAGTATATTTTTAGAAATCTGAAACGACCAATAGCACAACAAGTT